GCTCTCGAGCGCTCTTGGCATTTGGCGCATGACGCTGCCCAAGAATCCACTGCCGTAGCCTCTGGCCCCACCCACGCCCGCAAGTAGAATAATTCCCCATCGCCCTTAAATCCCTTCCACTGCGGCGCACGCATGCTAAGACAATCACGAGCCCTCTTCCTCGTGCCTTCACAGAGCTTCGCAGCAACCGGTGCCAAGCAGCACGTGGTAGGTTTAATCCGAAGGTGCACAAACAACTCGTTTGACTTCATGATGCGGGCCAGGGTCCTCGAACTCGTCAACTGCTCTTGAACGCCACCAATGTCATCCGCGCGCGCGGCGAATACCTTTCTTACGGGCTTCGATACTTGCGAACAAGTCCTGCAGGCAGGGCGCGAGAGCAGCGGCGAAGAGCGAACCTGACAGAGCATCGCCCTGAACAGTCCCCGAGCGGATCCAATATGCGTGTAAAAGTGAGCCTCTGCTTGGACATGCCCCCTCAATGGGCGAGCAAAGCAGCTCGATGAAAGATAGCAGTGCGCGCGGGCAACCCATTCTGCGCAGCGCGAGCATGAGGTATTGCTGCGGCAGACAAGGAAGAGAGGCGCCATAGTCGAGAGCAAAGAGAATCGGGCAATCATGATCATATTCAGGCCTGCTCGAGTACGCTGTGGCCACTGCGTCCAGCTCTGCAATATTCATGGCGAAGTTACGGCCTGCATAAACAGACCCCCGCTGAGACGGCGGAACCAACTCCGCCAGTGTTTCCTGGATCGATCTGTTCACCGCAGCAGCGATCACCTTGGAGCTCGCGTTGCGCAAGCCCAGGGCCCTGGCCGAGCTGGCATCCCGATCGCGCTCCCCAGTCGGTGCATCCCCTTCTGCCCCCCTTTCGGTAAGTAGTCTTGCAGTGTGAGGCCCTCGCAGGCGAAAGGCGCGATACCTTGGAACACGCCCGGCATCGCGTCGCGGAGGAGCTCCACTCCAAAGGGATTGGCAGACCGCGCGGCGTAGCATAGTCTGTCGCATCCAGGCGCAGATTCGACTGCGCTCTGGACGATCTGCTTGAAAGTGCAGAGGTGCGACGGCGGGCAGCCGGTGACATCGACAGGCGAGGCAAATCTCGACGCATGAGCTTCAGCAGCGTTCCTATTCCACTCCTCCCTTGCGAATGCCTCCTTCCAGTGCCGACGTAACTCGTTGCATGTCCCATCGGGCCCAGAAGCGGGCGAGCCATCCACAAGGACACCCCCAAGAACCAGCCGGGGAGAGAATGGGTCCCGAAGCCGAGCACGATGCTCAAAAGCCAGAATGCGATCACGAAGCTTGCCTCGCCCACCTCCCCCACCTACCTGATCACGCATGCGGGCGCGTATCTCGGCTTTGTCCCGTTCAAGCGCGTTGGGCTGCTGCGAATTGCGCCACTGCTGAAGGGGCACCGCGTGCACTAGCCCCACCTTCGGGCCACTTGCCTCGAGGATGTCAGCAGCGGCAGGGTGAGACTCGCGCAGGTGAGAAGCGGCCTGCGCATCTCGACGCCATCTCGCTCGCGAGATGGCTCTGGCCACCAGGGGCAAGTTGCGCGAGCCATCTGGCCGTCGGAAAAGAAGCAAGTCTCGAGCTCCCCTTACTGGCCCCGACCAGCAGGCATTTGCAGCGCTCCAATTTTCGAGGGGGGGGGGCATTCCCATCGTCTCCTCCTTCTCAGCCTCCAAGAACCGTTCTAATCTAAGCAATGAGCTCCTCCGACTTGCAAATGTGTTTCGGGGCAGGGCGGCGAGCGACATCAGGGGGGCGGCGCTGACGAAAGACGACAACCTGATCAGCATGATCACTGGCACGCATCCGAGAGACTTCCCCTGGGTCCCCCTTAACCCCGGCTAACGTCGCGAGCTGCGCGAGGACCCGACCAGGCCGCGAGCGCCGGCGCCGACCATTGGCAGCGGCCGCATCGGCGCGAGCATCGCAGTGAGTGGCCGCCGAACATGTTATCTCAACGCGCGAATCGAGTGCGGGCGTCCACTGAGGCGCGTGCGCATGCAGCGGTCGGGCAATCCGCTGAGCAACAGATGGCTGCGCTAGTGTCAATTTTCCTCTTCGGCAGAATTAAAATCACCACGCGCAATCACAGGACAGGGTTCGGGGGGGCCTCGGGCCTGGATCTACGCAGGGAAATCGCGCCGCGCGCGTCCCGAATTTGTTCGCGAGTCAGTTCATGGCCATGGACATTCCAATGAATCAACTCAGTATTCTCATTCGTGAAACAAGCGCGCAACACGCGGCCAGGCACAAATTCGGAGGAGGAGGAGGTCTACACACCAGGAGGAAGAGACCGGGTAGACTGGCGAATATTTTGCACGCCTAGAACGATCGCGGCCACCCCGCCACGGACGCGCTCAGCTCGCCCCCCCCCAGAAGCTCGAGGAGACGAGAGACCCACGGATGGCCTTCCGAAGAAGAATCTGAAGTTGGAGGGCCTCTTGATGGGCATCCTGGGGAACCGTGGCTGGGGAGCCTGGGCGCATGCGCCTCAGGTATCACAGCTTGGCCTTGGCATGAGCACCCTCATGCAGCAGCAAAGCTCGGCAATTCCACGAGTTCAAACGCAGCCCCTCGACTGACTCGCGATCTCGGAGGAAGGGGGGAGTGGAGGTCGCCAAAAAACGCAAGCGAACGCAGCTAGAAACACCACTGCGGCTCAGCCTCAGGACATCCTTCGCGAGGCCGTGCTTGTTGAGCGTCGCCTGGTTCCAGTTGACCACCGAAGCTTGGCTGCCTTCCTGCGGGTCCAATATGATCAGCGGGTCTCAACCGATCGACATCCCCCCCCGCGCGGTCGAAACATGACGGACCCACGAACCCGGAAAGGGATATAGAACCGCATGCATGGAAACGTTTTCACGACACCGTATTGGGCGACGGGCACTTCCACGAGACACCCCGCGAAACATTCCACGAGACACGGGCGACCGTTTTCAACGTTTTCCTGGAACCATTCCAGGAGACACCCCACGAAACAGTCCACGAGACACCCCACGAAACATTACAGGACGAAAGGCAACCACTCAACCAAGGCGGTGTGGTCGTGCTGGGGAGTGGTCGTGCTGGGGGGTGGTCGTGCTGGGGGGTGGTCGTGCTGGGGGGTGGTCGTGCTGGGGGGGTCGTCGTGCTGGGGGGTGGTCGTGCTGGGTCGTGGTCGTGCTGGGGCGTGGTCGTGCTGGGGCGTTGTCGTGCTGGGGTTTGGTCGTGCTGTGGTGAGGTCGTGCTGGAGGGTGGTCGTGCTGGGTGATGGTCTTGCTGGGGTGGGGTCGTGCTGGGGTGGGATAGTGCTGGGGTGTGGTCGTGCGCCCAGATCTCTGGGGCGCCCAGATCCCGTAAGTTCTACAAAACAAACGATTCGCTCGAGACATCTTCGATAACTCTGTGGAGCAAGCGTTTCGCTCGAGACATCCTCAGCACACGAAAAAGTGGCCCGCACCGTGTGATTTATCGATCGGGTTTTCAAAAACAAGCGTTTCGCCTGAGACATCCTCAAATTTTAATCCGCCGGCCCACCTCGACCTCGATATTTGTCAGGGGAAGAATCCGCTGGCCCGCCTCAGTTGAGGCACTGGGGACAGGTCTACCAACTAAAAGAGAACCCTGGGCCGGCGCCCTTTCCGGGAAAACAGGCGGTGCTGCTCACTGATCTTCTCGAGTACCTTTCGGCCCAACATTTCCATCTTGATCTGCCTTTTCGATTTTGGGCAGCGCCGGTGTGTAATTTGGTAGGACCACCTGTGCCATGCGATGAAGCATCAAATTGTCGCCATCCATGCTCCCCGCGCAGTAGCGAAAGAGCCTTGGCGACCCTGCGCGATGCAAGGCCCACACCACCATTGACCTTGATCGTGATGAAGCGAGACAGGGGGTCGCGGGACTCGATGCTCCACCATTCGTCGATGAAGCCAGCCTTCTCGAGCCAAGGGGTGGTAGCCTCGACCACCACAACCTTCGCCACCAGCTTGCCCGGGTTGCCCTTGATGATCGTAGTGTCGACGTCCCTCTCAAAGCCCGAGTCGAGCTTGATTGGCGCGTTCGGCTTCTTTTCAGCAATCGCCAGAGACCCCTGCAACAGCTTGATCTGGTCGGCCATCTCATGAGCTTGCGGTCGTGCTCGTCGACCTTGGAGTAGTGCTCGTCAAACGCCGTCCGCATTTCGTCACATCTCTGGAGGAACTCCCTCCGCATCTCGTCCAACATGGGTTTAACCATGTCAAGGATGGCCCTGTCAACGAGCCGAGCTTCGCAAAGCACTTGCGCGCGCAGTCCGCGAAGTGCTTTGCGAAGCTCGGCTCGATCGGCGCCGTCGCCTTGGATCAGCACCAGCACTTGATCTTCATCACTCGCATCAGACCGCCTAGCACCAACACCAGCAGCAGGAGCACGTTTGCGGACTAGTCCCTTGGCGTCCTTGCCCGTTTTGCAGCCAACACCTGCGGAAGAAACCGATCTCTTGGCAGGGAACGAGCCATTGGGACTCGACATGCGGGGACGTCTGAAGCGAAACGACTGGTTGGTGGCGCCCAGATCCACCCGTGAAGGAGACGAAACAGGGTGCCAGTCTCAAGAGACTTGCCAGCCGCGGACTAGCGGTAGCCCACTTGGTCCGCCAGGAAACCCATAGTCTTGAGCCAAAATTGCTCTACGGAGGAGGAGCAGGAGGAGGAGAAGGAGGAGGAGAAAGAGGAAGGAGGGGCGGAAGGATGATGGGAAGGGCGAGGAAGAGGAGGGGGAGGCATCCGGATGGAGGAGGATAAGGAGGAGGAGGGTGAGGAGGAGGGTGAGGAGGAGGATGAGGAGGAGGAGGAGGAGGAGGAGGAAGAGGAGGAGGAGGAGGAGGAGGACGAGGAAACGCCGCAGCCGAGCAAGCACAACCCTTCAGATTTTTTGGGCAGCGTGGCGGGGGTGCCAGGCGGGATGGCTCGATCGGCCCTTCACGATACCCGATCTCCTCGCCCTCCTCGTCCGCGTCCCCGGCCCTATCTCCGCCGTCCTGGCGCGCGCCGCCGCCGTCGCTTCGGCGGCAGATCTCTGTCGGAGGTGACTGACGACCCTGAGATCTGGGCGTCGCAACTTTTTCACACCGGGCCTCGCCAATTTCAAAGGACATGACTTTTTCAATCCCGGCGCTGTTCCTCGCTGTCGGCCCTCGGGGGCCGTTTCTGGGCCATGGGGTGAGAAAACATGGATCTGCGACCAAGAACTACTCCTGGAAATGGGTCGGGACCTCTGGGGCTGCGGATTGACATAATCAGATTGGTGGGTATCAGGGACCCTGAAATCCGTGCGTCGCCACTTCTTCATAATGGGCGTTCTCGCCAAATATTTGGGGCCCTGGGGCCCTCACAGATTGGTTCAGCCCCGGGGACGCCGCAGAGAGATTGGCTCTGCAGTCATTGTGCTACCATACGGAACGCTGCATTCGGCGGAAACAAACCTCCCTTTAGTAAACCTCCCTGTAGTGAAAACGGCCTAGGGCCGAAACCGACGGACCTGGACCCGCACAAATGACGGCCGCGACGCCCTCCCGCGAACCGAACACGGCCAATTCGCTAATCGACGTGTTAAGGTAGGAGGTCTGTCCACCCCCGATGTATAAGGAACGAAAGGGCTTTCCTGGCATCGGCGAGCGTCCCCCGACCCAGATCCAAAGAAGGGGCTTGAAAACCAGAGCCCCTCCTGAGCCCGACGTGGTCCTTACTTCAGCGTCTTATCTATTCATTTCTGTCTGCAACCAAAACAAATGCGCGCGGCGCGAACGCCAAGCCACGTTTTGAAGAAAAGCAGCGTCCTATCTATTCGTGAGGCTTCCCGACGGTGCTTCTGTTCGCAGCGTCCGATCTCGGGGGGGCAGGGTCGGCCGCCGCCTCCGCGTGCCTGCTCAGCCGCGAGTGGTGCCAGGAGGGTGTAAACGCACGTGGCCGGACTTTGAGCGCGGAACATCCGGATACTGCGCGCTGGGCCGTCCCGTAGAACGCGCGCAGGGTGACAGAGCCAGGCCGACAGCCAGACGACCGGCGACGAAGACGTGGACACCATCCTTCGCCTGCATCTCCAACCCCGTCTCGAATTATCGCCGCTTCCAGAGCAGAGCTCCAGGAATAGGATGATGACGAGGAGAGAAACGACGACGACGAAGACAATCTCCTCATCAGTAACTCCCGCCGTCGCGGGGCGTCCTGGCGAAGAGCTCCGCAGAGTAGGAGGAACAAGACGACGAAGAAGAGCAAGACGAGGAGGACGAGGAGGAGGAGGAGGAGGACGACGAAGACGACGGCGGCAAAGACGAAACCGAGGCCGCTCAGTCTCCCCAGCCCAAACCGCCACCGCCTCTGGAGCAAGAACCTCCTCCGTCATCTTTGCTCTTCCTTCCTCCGAAGGAGACGAGAGGGGCGGGGGGAGGGAAGGGAGAGGGGCTACGGTTATGGCGGCCTGAAAAGGCGTCAGGCCAAAGGTCACCGAGAGGGAGAAGGGGTGGAGGGAGAAAAAGAAGGGGAGCATGGAAGGATAATGAGCAGGAGGAGTGGAGGGATGGAGAGGCGGAAGGCAAGGAGAGGACGATTAGGAAGAGGAGGAAGAGGAGCAGGATGGATGGCGAAGGAATGTAGAACGTATGTCGCGACATACGGTCGGACCTAGGACATAATGATACTATCCTTCGAGAACATGAAACCCTTCGCCGGCCAACACACCCCAAACCAGAAGGTCACTCGGGGGTACCCTCCCCCAGCATGCACAAGACCATTAAAAAAGAACAAAGAATATTAAGGCACCCTCCCCGAACCGACCTCGATCTTATGCCTCGGTCCGGCTGCACGCGTTGCTCTCATCGAGCGCCGCCGTGAAATCGCAAGCACAACACAGAGACATGGACGGAATCGAGCGCGCAACAAGCCTACAGTTGGGAACGCGACACATCAATGTTTAGAGCCTCTTCCACTGAGTTGCTCATCAGGTCAACGGCGCAAGGCGAGAAGGGCATAACAGATCAGCGATCCCGTCCTCGACCTCGTCTTCCACAGGGTCGTCGCGCGACGTCGACGTTGCCTTGGATCTCCTGGGGCGTGTGAGCGCACCAGACGACGCATCGGTGCGCACGCAATGCAACACGAGCGCGCCATCCAGGAAGCCCTACAGAAAAAATCCGCCGACCCTGTCGGCGTATGGAATTTGCTGTTCGTCGTGGTTGTTGCCTCCCTTGCTGCTACCGCCCCGGTGATGTTCGCGCTGGTTGTTGTCCCCCTTGCTGCTCCCATCCCCGTTGTCGTCGCCGTCGCCTTACGGCCGTCGCCGTCTCCCACCT